TACGCACTCTAAGTCAAATCGGCCAGCGGGCAGCACTGACTCCCACTTCACTCTTTTGGTACCGATGTGTGTTGCGTCTTCGAAACACACATACAAGACAACAGCGTCGTGACAAATCCTCGACTTCCCGCTTCTGTTTCAGAGAGCGATGACTAAACTCTTCACGTCTCTTGGAATACTGAGTTAATGACGCAAGATATTTATGGTGTTAGTATTACCCTCAGACAATCTGCTCGAATGGATACCGGTGAACAGCAGCATGTTTGCAATTCGACTTCGAAACACTATTACAGTTAATAAGCTGTGTCTGAAGTCACGGTGCCTTTTTATCGCCACAGCTTATGCACCTACTGAATGCAGTTCAGAGGGTAACAAAGATGATTTGTATTGACAGCTCTCAACTCTTCGTCGTATGGCGAGGAATACTGACATTTGGATTGTTGCTAGTCGTTTTGCAGACAACGAACAAAACGTGGACGGCCGCTAAGGAGGTGATGCACGCCGAACAGATAACGGATATCGATTTTTGTAACTGTGCGGCGACCACAGCCTCTATGTTACCTGCACTGCTTTCTAGCACATATGTTCACATCGCGTCACAAGGCGCCCACCGAATTCTTTAATGACCTGGACCCAAATTGACCATATTGCCATCTGCTATGGATGGCGCACATGAGTTCAAAACTGTCGGTCAGTTTAGTGCACGTGCCTAGCTTCCAAGCATGGTCTAGTGAGCGCACGCTTTGGGTTCGCTCATCACGCTTCAAAGAAGTGCCTATCTTCTAACCTCGTTACCTGTAACTTGAATTCACAATTTGCCGTTTAACAATATCATAAGGAAATGACCCACCAGTCGCCATTGATTAAAGAAGTTGGTGAGTCGGAGACTGATCAGGACCGTTTCAAAGGTACCACGAAGAATGTCTTTGATGAATGCTGTGCATACAAGTTGAGATTCTTGAACAGTGAATGGATCTCTGAGGCATTGATCAGCCTGACCGAAGGACTGAGATTTAACTTGTCTTTGAAACGACGTCTGATGGAAGTTTTCGAATCGACCGGGAACGTTGGTGGGTGGTAAAGACTCGTATGATGGAGAAAGCCAATGCCATTGAGAACATCATCATCATCATCATCATCATCATACACGTTAGCTGGAGGTGGGGAACACCTCAGCTACTGTGCCGCAATACAAAGAAAAAAATGAGAGAAAAAAAGAAAAAAACTGGTTAAAGCTGGCTGAGCTACCGGTAACGGATGGGTATCGTTCCGGTAAGCTACCAGCCGGCTACTGTGCACCCAAAAAAATTATTATGCAAAATTATATAAGGCTAAGTAATGAGATCGTGGTTGGAGGGGGAGGCTAAGAGGGATGGGGTGGGACAAAGAAACTCACAGCACGAACGCCACTGAGGTCGGCTCCTAGCCATATCAGCAAGTGTGTCCAACCAAATGCGTTCATCGTCTTTCGGACCCCAACCAGGTAGCCGAGACGCTCCAGCCGAGGCCAGTTCAGAACTGAGGGTCTTCATTCCTCTGGACTAAGTCATCGCTTGGCCACCCCTCCTCTTCTTCCATCCAAACCCTTGGCGCGCAAACAACGCACGTCGAGGGAGTCGGTGGGCTGGCATGCTTAGCACGTGGCCGAGCCATCGGAGCCTGATGCGTGAAATAACGGTGCTGAGCGGTTCATTTCCTTTTCCTGTGCCATAAACAAGGCGTCGAACACGCTCGTTGCTCACGCGGTGTTCCCACCAAATGTGAGCTAAATTACAAAGGCACCGGTGGTCGAACGTAACTAGCCTCTTCAGGTCCGCTGCTTTAAGCGGCCAGGTTTCACAACCGTACAATAGGGTCGAGTGCTATTCCAGTTCATGCGGAACACGGGTTCGAGAAAGCCATCAATTTGCGAGACAATAGCTGATAAAGAGACAGTTGATCCATTCTCAGCGTCGTCGACTAGCCCGATGGATGGAAGATTTTGAAGAGCAGTTCAGTAAGCCTGCTGAGACAAGGCCGCTCGATAACTCGCAAGGCCGAGGTTGGAAGAGATTCGACATGACCTTGCCGTGTTGAAAGGAAACAAGGTTCCTGGACCCGATGACATTCCTCCATATTTGCTGAAGGATGGTGGTGACACTTTTTGACTGGACTGGAACACTAAAGAAGTGCCTTCAGACTGGTGCCTGTCACCTGTTGTTCCCAACTCAGCGTACATTCTACAAAAATCCGCGAGGCATTAGCCAAATTTCCGTTGCCTCCAAACTTCTCACGGATATCATTATCCGATTACTCACTGGTGCCCGTGAGAACCGAATCACCGAAAGTCAGGCCGGCTTCCGCCCTAGTGGTGGTTGTAGCGACCACATATTTACTCTTCGCCAAGGTTTAGAGCACAGACACATACAGACGACCAACTACGGTGGTTTACCTTGACCCGAAAGCCACCTACGACTCTGTTGACCGCGCCAGATTGTGACATTGCATATCCATGAAGGGCGTGCCGGCTAAATTCTTTTCCATTATGCAGTCCCTATACCGTGACTCCCGAGGCCGTGTAAGGGTCTACAGAAAACTCTCTCCTGAGTTCCCCACGACAAGAAGCGTTCACCAGGGTTGTCCTTTATCACCTATCCCTTTCAACTTTGTAATCGAAATCACTATGAATGACTCCGTTCTTTCAGACTCTAAAGAAGTGGAAATTGTGCCGGGTGAACAACTGACAAAGCTGGATTGTGCGGACAGCATAACTCTTCTTGGGTCAGACGCAAACACGGCCGGATCGACTAACGAGTGGCGCTGCAGGCTTCGGTATGGGCTTTGCACCTTCAAAGTGCGAACTGCTGCAGGACAGGACCGACACACTTGCTCTAGCTATCACCGAACAGCCGCTGGAAGTGGTGGATCAGTTCACTTATCTTGGCAACTGTGTCATCAGTGGTGGTCACACAAGTAAGAAAGTTATTTCGCATGTTAGCAAGGCGCGTGTGGCGTTCCAGAGACTCTACCATCTATTGATATGGCGGGATATCAGCCTGTCAGTGAAATGTAGGGTGTATAACGCTGCAGTAAGGCCGGTGTTACCGTATGGATCAGAAACCTGGCCAGCTCGTGGCGAAGAGGTTATACGCTTGGCTGTGTTTGACCACCGGTGCTTGCTGAGCACTGCTCATTTCTGGTGGGAACACCGGGTGAGTAATGCTGAGGTAACCAGCCGTTGTCAGTAAGAAACCTTTTGGTGCTTCACTCGTGTTTTCAGAATCATAATCGCTTACGCTGGCTAAGCCATGTCCTCTATATGTCCATTGACCAGCTTCCTCGATATGCACTATGCTCCGTTGATGCATCAAGTTGGAAGCGATTGTGAGGTGACCAGTCCATGACGTGGCATGGAGGCATGAAGCAATTGACCGGTGCGTGCCGTCTTCGTGTATGGAGGCCCCGGGATAGTCCACATCAATAGTTGGAGACCGTGTCAGACATGGCACAGTCGCATGGTCAGTGGAGTTCCGGGCATTCGATTTCTTGCAAATAGTTGTTAAGTATCATTCCATTCTGATAAGTCTAACGCATCTGCTACTTGATTGAGTTTTATTTACATTATACCTGCGCTCAACTTCATTTTATTCCCGTTGTTATTTATTGCTATGCTGGTGATGTGAGTCGTGACAACTGCATCCACCGCACTTCGGTGCCCGGATCATAGTTGTTCAATTGAAGTGAATTGAATTCTCTGTCCTATCAGCCATAAAAGCCTTACTTGTGCTCCCGATTATTAAAAAGACCAAAGAGCAGAAACCTGATGAAGATGTACGCGTATTCAAACTGAATGCTAAATCAGATTATCTTCAGCTATTCAAACGAATAAAGCCCCCTGAAACTTTTGCTTAATAACTATGATATCACAACTTAGTTAAACAGCAGCTTGAAAGATATCTCAAGAGGCAATGGGTGTGATGCCGATCTATATGCAGCACAACCGCTCTCGCCAAAAAACAGCCAAACCTAAAAAGAAACAGGCGTTATCTCTTCCTGGATAATGAATATAAATGATGGATGTAGACGCTGGGGATTTTGATGAGGACAGGAGTATAAGCGCAATGGAAACTTACTATGGCACGATCGCAAGTTAAGCGGACACTTCATATTGATCGATAATATCGCGTTGACATACGATAATAGGAAGCTCACGGTCAAAGGACCAACCTTCGTCCCTTCAAACTCTAGTATGGGAGACATCAGGATCGATCATCAGGAAACATTGGTAGAAGTAGATGCATGAAGGCGCTCGAAAAGATCACCGAGTAGAGCTCGGTGGATCATCGAGGGTCACGGGACAACAAACGAGGTTGTTTGCGCATCAAAGATAAGGAAGGGAACGGACACCAACATAATTGTAAGGTATATGGCTACATGAGACAAAATGCCTAGGAACTTTTGAATGATACGTGCAGCCATCGGGAATACGGGACCAAATCCCCAGAAACGTAGCAACATGCAGGAAATTGGTCCAAGACCACAACAGATAATTCAATATCAAACCTCAAACGGCTTTTTCTACACACACACACACACACAATGCAAACAAATGCTTGGTAGGTACAGCGAAAGGCCAGTTCTCATACCAAGCGAAGAAAGGCGCACAGCAGCGAAGATGCAACGCAAAACTGATTACAGTTCCTTCGGACAGAAACCGACCTTGTAGAGCAACGATGATTGGTAAGTTAGAAATGCACTAATAGGCCAGTCGATTTGGGCTAATCGAGACCAAGTAGGCAGGGTGAAACAATGCGGTTGCGGGCCTGTCACATACAGAGTGGAATGAGTAAACTGAGAGGTTTGTCAATGGTTAGATGATGGTATGAATAGACTGAATAAAAAATGCATAAGGCAAAATGGTGACTAAACAACTTACTGGAACCGCATCTTAACAGGTTGAAAAGTATACCGACATCGATATAAATATTGTTAATAGACGAGAACAGCTTCCACCAACTCACCTAATTTCTCGGTGCAAAAACTTTGAGGTCAGTAAATGTGATAGAACGCGAAAACTGAAAGCAGAAAACGTACATCGTGATGAAGGGAAGCCAAATAGCAATATTTGATCGATAAGGCCCCATGGCAGTTGAAATTGATCGAATCTCGTAAGCTCCATATTGTAATATGGTCTATACCATTTCCCGGTCAAGTTGTCCTCTTGGGCAACAGAAATAATCTGAGGGGGCATTCAACATGAGTCTACTCAATTAATTTGTTCCGTGCGTATGCCAGTCACTTTTGCAGATGTGTAGGTGTGTGCGTATAGCCCGTCGCCTTCAGCCAATTGGACCTCAGACGCACTAAGTCATAGGGGTGCAGGTGGGACGCTTCAGCTCCTACGCACGGAACAAATTAATTGAGTAGACTCATGTTGAATGCCCCCTCAGATTATTTCGGTTGCCCAAGAGGACAAGTTAGCCGGGAAAAGTTGTAGATAACAGGTTCTGGGGATACTTGGCACGATCGATTTAGTCATCATACAGTTTAACTGGCACCGCAGTAAGCCAACTCTTACTTGTGTTTACACGCAGTATATAAAAAGTCTGATCATTCGAGAGCTCTAAACAAAAAACCGCAGTATGAGTCGCTAGTCCGTCATACTTACAAGTGCTAGCAATGTAGGTGGTAAATAGCACGGACAGTACGTTAGCCTTCATAGGAACCTACCCTACTGCCTGCGGTCATGTGTGGGCGACATTTCGGAGACTCGGTGGATTATTCTGGTCTATCAGGAGTAAGAAGGTAAGTGACAAATGAAAGTAGCATGAAACGAACGGCGCGTACACTAAGTCAACTCACGCTGCGTAGTTAGGGGATTCATAGGATGGAGCAGGGAAGGCCTGTCCGACATAATGAACAGAGTACGGCATGACAAAGTAAGAATTGGGAGCGACCTTCTGCAAACTACTCAGAGGATGGGAATTCTCGCCAGAGCGGGGATCGGGAGGTGAAGTCGAAAGCCCAGAAACAAAATGACCCAGTGAATTTAATCCGGCCGAGAGACCGTCGGATTCACCATGCAAACTGAATCTGTCAGAAATAAAGAGAAAAAAAGTGATCATAGGCTGAGGAGTGAGAATAATCGGAAAGTGCTCAAGGTAAAACCCAGTAGCTAGTGTGAACCACACAGAGATATTTGGCGAAAAGAAAGCTGTTTCAAAATAGCGGAAAAAAGCAAATCGCACACTGAACATTAATTTTGTGATGGTGAGCGCAGACGATGAGCGGTGACTTTCCTGATGACTTTTAAAAATATACAGGTTAACCCTATAAACTAAAATGCACATTTTGGTCTTCCTTTCAAGATAACAAGAATGTTTGACAGAAAGAAACAGCAAAAGCTTCTGGAGCTTGCATAATGTCGGAAAATTTGACCAGCGGAAACATCTGGGCTGGACTGGATGTTCGCCTGATGCCTCGTAACCACGTAAGACATTGTACGGGGGCAGGGATATAATCGGGACACCAAAATCTATGTGGGAGAGAGCACCCGAGTTTGGTGTGAAGACTACGGAAGCCTGAAGACTATCCTGTGGAATCGAAACTTGGATCAAACTCAGAAACCACTGAGGATAAAAACAGGAGAATTCACTTGAAGGTGTACTGTAAATGCAGTAAATAGCTACTAATACCGTGCATTGGTAATGTTACACCGCTAATTTAAAGCAATGACGGGATTTTGCTACATACTTATAGCGATGCGGGTATCCCATCTGAACGAACAGATGAATCTAACGAACGAGATAGACATCTAATGGGAGACGGACCTGACAGGCTCGATGAGTGAACAAGGTAGGTGCAGCCGCCTAAACACACAGCTTCGTTGATTGGATGACGTTCGTGGCTGCGGCGGTGTGTTCCTCTCGGTTTGCTTAACTGAGTCAAACGTAGTCGTTCAACGTTTCTAACACCTATGAAAACAACAAAGTACGCGTTTAACTGGCAGGAAGAAAAGCCATACTGGCAGCGTTGATAAAAGATATGGTCATCGTGTGTGAGGAATATGTGTAAAATTGCCACCTATGGTTATTGGATCCTACAAACTGTTGTGTAAAATCGCAGGAAAGAAAATTTTGCTAGTCAGCTTGTAACACCCACTAGGGCCGCATGGAATTTGAATCCATTAGCTGGTTTAGTTACGCTC